AGCACAATAACTGACACTTTTTTATTAATTTTTTAATTAATTAACTGAATACGAGAAGCTGCTTGATAAGAGTGGATAATAAGGAGACAGGCACTAGCTTGTTTGGAGTTAACCATTCAAATGTTTGGTGTTGTATGGATTATTTATGTAAACACTAAACCCCGCAGAATTCGAGGTTATGAGAACAGGTTGACATTTCGAAATAGGTTCCGTCATTCAACGATTCCTGTTGAATTTACCGTTTACCCTTGTCTATCTTATTGTCACTTTCTCTATTTATCCACGGTTACCGGACTTTTGAATAATTACGAAGCAACAGGTATTTGCGTAATGTTAATTAGGAAGATTACCTTCAAAAACATTGCTGCCGTATTTCTGATATAGTTTTTTGCAAATTTCTCAGTTTTTAATAACAATTAATTTATTTTCATAGTTTTTCTGTACTCCTATGACACCGCCAAACAACACCCCCAGAGGAATGACGCCAATTTTGAATCACCCTGTATTCTATGAGGAAGTCTGCAATGTGTGGGATAGGGTCTCTTGTTGAAATAGTGATGTAAATTCGGTTGTTGTTGATTACGTCTTGATGATACTTTTTTCTACGTGGCCGTCAGCAACTATTATTTGATTTTTCTACTGATTGAGTGGTCGTGCCGACATAGGGATTTCAACAGTGGGATTTTTGGCCGATCAGTGCAGTGTGTCTATATCCTACTCCTTCTGCTTTAGTGTGCGAGGTGGCACAATTTGAATATCCGACATTATGTTGGTTATTGGAACTTCGAGGCTCTCTGGCACTTCTTGCAGGATTTCATCTAAATTCAATTCGCCTCTTTCGGGTAATGTTTCTGGGTGTCTTAAATATAATTTGATAATGTCGTCTGCGCACCTGGTTTGTTGCATACTGAGGCGCATTCAAATACATTGATGTATGTGGGGTTCCTTGAAAGAGCATCAGCTGCTTAGTGTGTCTTTGCATTCTTTTACCTGATCTCACATGGAAATTCTTCGAGTTTCGATCTCCAGCGTACTAGTCTGAAATGCGGTTTCTTTAGGGGCATCAACCATTGTAGTGGTTTGTAGTTTGCGTATATTATAAACTTACGCCCAAATAAGTGATATGCATATAGTAGGGCCTATAATATTTGCAGCTTCATACTGTTGCGGCTTGATTTTTAACGCACAGCGGCAACGCAGCTTCCAGCGTTTTCGGGACGCCTAGCTCGATACTTCGAGAACGAACGGCAATAGTCGATTGGGTTATGAAATTCCCGAAAAATGGAGAATCTTTGCAGGTCGTCGAGAGCCCTTGCGCGCTAATATAAATACGGCAAGGCGACCGGAGTTAATCAGGCCCATACAGAGTTCAGACTTCGACTAGTCAACATCGTGCTAAGCATCGCGCTCTGCAAAAGTTTCAGTGTTGGTGAAATCAAAGTGAAAGCTGTTACTTGGGTTTTTCCTAAGTTCTTGTGTCGCTAAGCTGAGAATAGTGTGCTTTTTAGCGCACTTCGCAGCAGTTGCACTAATTACAAGTGTGTGTTTTGTTCCAGGCTTGGAGGAAGCCATGGCTCTCACAACGGAGAGCATTGTGAGGAGGTTTGAGGCGCTGGAGGCCAAACTGGAGGCCACCTTATTGGAACTTAAGAGTTCCAATGAACAGGTGGCCGACTGGATGGAACGGGCTACAAGAGCGGAAACGTTCTTGGACGCCAGCCGTCCTCAACCCGAAGAAAAAGAGGTCGCAGGGGAGGAGATGGAAGAGGATTCCACCTCCTCCTCCAGTGAGAGTGAGGCGGCAGAGGGTCCCGCTGAGCGGCAGCACCTTCAGCAGCCTCCAAGGGGGGCAAGAGCCCGGCTACGGACTCTTCCGACGGCGAGGGCTTTATAACCCCAAATCGCCGGCGCAAGAGGAAGAGAACCAGGCCCATGACCTTCAGTGAAAAGGACGACACTAATCGCAGGAATTTGTCCGCAGGCACGAAGAGAAACCCACGGAAAGCCGCCGTGCCGAGGGAGCCAGCAGTCCAGCCCAGCAGCCCAGCCCAGCAGAGAGTGGAGAAAAAGCAGGCCACCCCTGCAGCCCAGCAGCAACCCTAGAAACGGACAAAAATTCCACCGATTGTCCTCCGTCAAAAAGAACGTTATGATGAAATAACGAAAATTCTTACCGACAAAAAGATTAATTACGGCTGTTGCGTGACAACCAAGGAAGGTGTCAGAACGCACCCTCCCACAGTTGAAGACTTCCGTGCCATGATCCGGGTACTGGACCAACGCAAGTTCCAGTACCACACATACCAACTGGAAGATGAGAAACAACTCCGAGTCGTCATCAGAGGAGTTGTGGAATCATGGTCGGAAGGAAAAATCAGAGAGGAACTCTGCCAAAAAGGCTTCCACCCAACCACGATCGTCAGGTGGCGAAAGAATGGCCAACCCATCGCAGTAGTGCTGGTGCTACTGCCTAAAACTGAAAAGGCCATTTTCGAGGTCAGAAGCCTTGGGAATCTGCGAGTCCGCGTGGAGTCCCAACACGCCAAAAGCCAGACGAGGCAGTGCTTCAGGTGCCAGCTATTGGGACACGGCCAGTCCAAATGCACTGCTGCAGCCAAGTGCGTCAAGTGTGCAGGAGCACACGAAACTAGGGAATGTCAAATCCCTAGGGAAAAGGCTGCGAAATGCGCCAATTGTGGAGGTGCCCATCCAGCCTCCTACTCAGGATGTCCTGCAAAGCCTGCGCAAAAGAAGCCAGCAGCAACCACA